GATACACGGCCATCAAAGTGGTATCTGTGAAGGCCAGATTGGGTATCAGAACAAGCTCATAGCCAGAAGGCCATCTGTAACATTTTATATTACATTATAAAAGCAGCAAGATGGCCGCTTACATATAAAATACTAAGTTAAAAAATGGAAGGTGGTGAAACTAAACCAGCAGGTTTGAAGGATTAAAGAATGTTTTAGTATTTTACATTTCATACAAGAGGTTGTTTTAGCTGCTTTAGCCAGAATGTTAACTTAATAATTGTTTGTAAATGGAACATCACTTACCAAGAACTAAAAAAAGGTAACGTTCTCGAGCCTGAACACTTTTCTAAAGGACAGTTATCAACAATCAGTTCTTCTGTCGCTCCTGCCCTCACTCTTTATCTTCCTTTCTGTCTCTTTCATTTCCCCGACTGTCTCTTTTTATCAGCCTCTCTCAAAGGTGTGTTCCCCTCCCTAAGGCCGTCCCTCTAGGCGTGCTCTCTGCACACACACACACATTCACAAAGTGCATTAGGGTTGCTGTCATTTACAATACAAGCCCATTGTCCCCGTTGAACAATAGCTACAAACAAACAATTGACATGGAAATGGAGAGATGTAGCTCATCAGCGGGCGCTGCTTGTTTTGTTAATGGATAAATGGGTGGCTTCAATAGGCCAGGCCTAAAACCCCTGCCTCAATATGGAGATGCCTGATTACCAGGGAACCACAGGGAGGAAAGTGGTGGCAGAGAACTGCAGCTTTGCTCTCCCTAGGGTTGTATGAGGTGGTTTGGGAGAGGGGGTTTAGGTTTGGAGTGTGCTTCCGCTTAAACTTCATGCACGTACGGAGTCTGCGTAAATCTTATCAGTTTGCTTTTGTCGCAAAAGTTTCATTTACACATTTATTTCCCAGATTCTTCGTTAACTTTTGCACTGAAATATTCTTCTGCAGGTCTAATCCTTTTATCTTTCAGATGTCTTGTCAAAACTCATTTTTAAACAACCTGTCCTGGATTTTTGTTTATGTCTCTGGCTACTTTATTCAGCTAAGTGTGTGTTTGGTTGAGTCGTCATGTTAAGTGCCTATCTTAACTGATGGGAGGGCATTTGTGTGTATCTGTGTGTAGTGGCCTTTGCTATCTGCAGGATCATATTGAATCGACCTGAAAATGGCATTTCTGCCATTGCTCAGATGGTGACGGCTCAATACTGGATCTGTCGCGTTCCAAGATGTAGCGTGCATGTGTGGGTGTGGGTGCCTATATGTGCTCCTAGCACCATAGTGATGTGAGACAACGTTTTAATGTATCCATCTACATTATTTAAGCAGCAAGAATTTGGCACTGAATATTGGGTTTTTTCACAGTCATGATTAAATCACAAAAGTTCTAGATCCTGTGTTATTTCTGAGAAAATGGCAGTGAAAATGATACTTTTTATATTTTTGACCATAATAAAGTTCAGATAAATATTTTAAGTCAAAGTTGAGAGCTTAGAAAAGAGGGAGGAGCTGCAGTGTTAAGCATTACAGTTCCAGAGGGAACTTTCTATTAAAACTAGATGAACTTCATGCCATGTCCTTACTACTTGGACAATCTGAAGTCCTACCAAGACTTAAAAGCGTGTTCTAGATAGATCAAGGTGTTCCGAGACCATGTCATGAGATCAAAGGTGATTTAAGAACAGGTGTAGCTTAGCCTTATCTGCATTTCCTCGTTCCTCTTGTTGGGTCCTAATTATACTGAAGAGGAGAGTGGGACCTTCTAGAAGTTTGACAAATTTTACTACAAAACAGTTGAGGCAAAGTGAAGCAACTGTGCTGTGAACAACTTCTGTTCACTCTTTCATCTTCCTGCCTCCTCCCAAATCCCCACTTCCCAGTCTAAACTCCTCCCCTTCATTCATCGGACATTGAAGCCATCTCCTTCCTCTCAGAGTCCATGGGATCCACTTTCTGGAATCCTTCTCTATAAACATGCAGATTTGGGGGTTTTGTGTCTGCAGTTCATACCAGCATATGCTTCTTTTGCACCTGCACCTATACTCAATGTGGCTCGACTTTGCATAGTTCAGGTGTTTTTTATATTACAACTGAGAAACTGCTGTAGTGGGTGGGTTCATCATAGCGACCCTAACCCCAACCCTAGTCTTCTTGTGTGTTTGTGGTCTGGCTTGGTATGCTTGGTACCACAGCAAAGCAGGTTCTAAAAATGCGGTGGTAACCTGGTACTCGTCTTCAAGATAAGATTGGAACCAACTATGGACTGTGCCTGAAAGTCCCTCCATTTTATTAGCCTATCGAGGATGTTGTGGTCCACAGTATCAAAAGCTGCACTGAGATCGAGCATCATCAGGACAGAAGTTTTGCCTGAAACTGTATTTAGACGAACATCATTTAATACTTTATTAAGTGGAGTTTCAGTGCCATGGTGTTGTCTAAAGCCTGACTGGAAACTATCTAGCAGGTTGTTTGTCTCTAAAAAGTTGTTCAGCTGGATCATAACTGCTTTTTCAATAATTTCCCAATGAAAGGGAGATCAGGGATTGGTCTGTAATTATTAATCACTAAGGAATCTAATTTTCTTTTCTTTAGAAGGACAGCACACAGTTTTCTAGGCATGGAATGAACAAGTTGGTGACATATTGCAACATCAATCATTTTCCATTCTTCAAGAATAACCTCTTTTCGAGCCTGGATGCTGGATGGAGAGTGATGCACAACTTGCTGCTTCAGAATTCCCCACAGGTGTTCAGTTGAGTTCAGATCAGGAGACATACTTGGCCGTTCAATCACCTTCACCCTGTTCCTCTTCAGAAATGCAGCAATAGCTTTAGATGTGTGTTCTGGATCATTGTTGTGTTGGAAAAGTGCACGACGACAAAGATCTCGGAGTGATGTCTGCATCTTCTCTTTCAGAATAGAGCAGTACATTGTTGAGTTCATGAAACCATCAATGACATGCAGCTCCTGAACACCAGCAGCACTCATGCAGCCCCACATAATGACAACACCACCACCATGTTTCACTGTAGGCACTAGGGGTTGTATGAACTAGTCGACTTCATGGCTCTGTAGTGACTTTTTATGCCTGTCATCGATTAGTCGCTGTCACGTGATAATGACTGACAAGATGCAGTCCTCCAGCAGGTGATGAGCCCCTACGTCGGGAGGCGGAGGCGACGCGCTGTGCCAGAGCGTCGGTACTGACACCGGCGGTAAAATGGACATTTAACCAAACTGTGACCTTTTCCCTCTTGCAATTTTACCTTCCCCTCACCCCCATCCTAATCTTAACCAGTTTGTGCATGCAAAGCTCTGATCGTTGACGCGCTCCAAACATCTCCATCCTGAGCACCGCCAAATCAGGTGTCACCACCTCAAAAACAAATTAAACACGTGATCGTTCATGTCGGCTTATTTCCTTTCATGTTTTCTGTCTGTTATTTGTGCCTGATGCGTTTCGCTGCAGCGGAGTGAGGCGCATTTTGTCCTCCGGTGACGCACCCCCAAGATTCCACTATCTCCACTCCGCTCCGCTCCGGCACGAACTCCGCAGCAAAAATGGTCCCGTTGTAGTCGGCCGGCGAGCAGCGGCACTCCGCTGTTTTTGCGGTTGGTAGATCTTTTAGAACTGCAGTTCAAAGGTAACTCATAAGGTGAATATATATGAACCCAGGTAGCAGTTTTTCTTTAGGACTGAGAGGAGATGCAGGAAGATAATAAACAGGCAGGACAGAAAAATAGTCAAATAAAAACAAGTTAGTTTTTGTACCTGGTGGTTGCAACAAACAGACACCATTGAAGGTAATCAGAAGTGAGGAACAGAAAATGAAATAATTATTTTAATGTTTAGAGCAGCAGGAACTCCGAGAGGCTGCAGGCGCATCAGTTTGCTGCTGCTGCGCAGGGGGAGGGGGGAGAGGACTGAAGTAGGATGCAGAAACTACCGTTGTTAAAAGAGATGTGTTAACTTAGAAAATTCCTTCTTTCTTTTGATTTGGGCGCAATTTTAATTGTCAAAAACCCCACCGACACTTACAACCTTTTTTGCATATTTTTTTTACATATTTTTTTTACATTTTTGGATCACTTTCGCTACAGTATTTTGACTGATATGAAAAGCTTTGCTGATCTTCTTGTAGCCCTTACCTTTTCGGTGTAAATAATTTATTTTCTTTCTCAGATTATGTGACATTTCTCATATGAGCAGCTACTGCTGACAGCATGAAATGGGAAGGATCCTTTTGTAGTGACCTGTCTGCTGGACACCTCTTAAATGAATCATTAGACTCACCTGTGGTTGAATGCCTGTTAATTAGAACGTTCTAGTCTTAAGTGGCTTTTCTCCTAAATCTATAATGGTGGAATTAGGTTTTTGAAATAATCCCACTGTGCAAAGACCTAGCTTGGACGTCCTACAGACGTGGTCTGGTCCGACAGACTCAATATTTACATGATCAGCATACGATGTTGACTGTTTGCAGGGATATAACTGAAAAATTGCTAACTCATAGGTTGTATATAGAACAAAAACACCAAAGCGACATCAAGTGTGTGGAGGTTGTAGTTGCAACAACAGAACAAGGTTTCCAGCCGATGTACTGTTTGGCAACCGGCAATGTTGCCCTCCATTGGCTGGTAGATGTAAACATATCCAGTGTTGTGCCCATCAAAATTAATATTTGATTATTTTAATTAAAATATAGCTTTTAAAGGAAATACTGTACCTTCGTTCTAAAGACCTCCAAATACCATGTTGAGGGGTTATTTAAAAAAATATAGCTTTTTGTTAAATTGTTCCATATTCAACCTTTATGTGGGACAACTGATGGATACAGGCAGTGAAATGACAGCCAAATGTATCAACTCTAAATTATTGGAGACCTGGATGGGGATGTTGCGTCTCTGCTGCATTACTGAAGTTTTTCTTTTGTAAACTATTTGAAATAAATGCAATTTTTTGATGATGACCGCCTTATTCTTAGTTTTTGATGTTCTTTTGTTCTTGTGTGCAGGAGCGAGATGCAGAGCGGAGGAGACAGCTGAGAGAAAGAGCCAGACAGCTGATCGCAGAGGCCCGATCTGGAGTCAAGATATCGGACATGAGCCTGCTGGATGCAAATATCATGGAGCGAGGGAAAGGCAGCAAGGCTGGACCTGCAGGAGGTCAGGACACACTTCACGATCATGTCAAATATAAACCACAAACTTACTGTTTATCAAAACATTGTTATGCCTTCTCTATTTATTCACAAATGAAAAAGGTGAAAGTTACATTTTCACAAGGTACACACAGTCACTATTGGTTATTATACAAATGTCACAGTTGTATGCTTATGACATAAACATTCCTTGATCCACACGCACACAGACCTACACATTTCCATTATGCTCTCTTAAGGGGTTCTGCCTAATCCTCAGAGGAAAAACAAAATGTCATTTGACAACAGCCGCGAGTCTAAAAAGTACCACCTTCATATTCCAAGGAGCAGTTTATCCAGCGACTCTTCCCCTGCCTCGTTCGCCCAGTAGTTATTAATGAACTCAACACATTGTGTGACTGAATTACGTTCAAAACACCAAATGCTTCTAATAACATCTTGCAGCAGTGGCTCGTGCATTTCCCACTGCTTTCCATTTTCCAGGAAATTGGGGTTATTATCGTAATGACCATTATTAGGCCTCACAAGTTGTTTGTTTCAGATTCCTCTACCTTACACCCTTGTTTTAGTTATTTAGTTCTGGACGATCGAGGACGCAGCATGCAAACGAAAGTGATAGTGCCTGCAGGTGAGGAGGAAGTGTGTGAGGCAAAGGCGTCAAAAAAGGGCGTTTTTTTATTTTTTATTTATTCAGAACAAATGATTGATTTTGTTCATCAGAAGAAACAAAAGAGTATACAAAATTTGCTAAAGTGAAACATACGTCTTCATCATTCAGGTGCATTAAAATGTCAGGAGAGTGATAACTAGAGGGAACATACAGTCAGATGCTTATTTGTTGTTGATTTAATGAATGTTTCTTATAATAAAACGGACAGTAGCATAAATGAAACACATAAACAAAGATTTTTTCTTATAAAATCTGTCATATTCAGTCATTTCCTACAGCAATGATCCAGTACAGAAGAGTATGATACAGCAGACTATTTCCTACCTTTGAGGGTGGGCAATATGGCAAATATGTATATTTATATAACAGTTTTTAACAGTGATGTCACGCAATCACAATTTTATAATGGTTTTGATGAATCTTTAAAGGTGCATCATGTAGAAATGAAGTAAAAATAGCACCCTGTGGTAAAAATTTGGTTACTGCAACCACTTTAAACAACTCTGGAGCTTTTTGCCGGCCGTCATCAAATTACAATTGTCAGTGCTGCAGTATTAGCTCACAGGAGACTCGGCACCCCCACACTCACTGATGGTAAACAGTGGTTACGTCCCTCCTTCCTTTGTTTGAAAGGAGAAAAACTGAAAATCCCCACAGCCAGCTGGATATGAAATATGTTTCAGTATAACCTTCCCTCCAAAAGGTCTCGATGTTAAATTCTCACTATATTCTTACATACTGCACCTTTAACAGTTTTGAAAATAAAACTTATTTTTTTGTGTTCATTTATGTGTTTATTCTGTTTTATTGAACCATTTTTTCAAGTTTCTGAACAATGCAACAGCACTGCTTTCCTGCAAAAGCAGCCCAAAATATAAAACACAAAAGAACATTACATAACATTTAGGAGTGTTTAATCAGTTTGTGCAATTGCAAATTGCCCCGTGTGTCAACTGTAGAACAGTGAATAAGTAGCTGAACATTAACAAATGCACTAACAGAATTATGTCAGTGAAGAAAAAGCATCAGAATTGTGCACATTATGTTTTGCTTCTATGTGTCTCCCGCAAGAGCAGTGGGGGGTGGATTTCGTAGCCATGGCACTGCAATTTCAGCGGCAGCTGAGCCTATGTAGGGGAAACACTGCTAGTTATATTGATACAGAGTCATCTTGTTTCTTGTTTGAAATTGCATATATATATAAAATTATATATACTGCCCAGCCCTATTTATGTTCAGTCCTAAACACCACAACATAATATTAGCTTTATGCTAACAAATGCTAGTGTCGCTAGTTTATTGGCATTGTGTAATTTTATAAATTATCACTTCATTCTCATGTTAAGTTAACTAGACTAGCACGTTTCCCTCCTTCATGATCAGGTGTGGAGTGTGTCCCATCTAAAACGGTCCGGGTAGAAACGGTGCTTAAACATGCTCTGCTCTCACAAAACATACATCACAAATTATTCTATGGTCAAAAACTTGATCATCTAATATTGATGATATATTGCCCACCTCTTGGTACAATACAATACAACGTGATAGCTGAAATTATATGAAGAAAACACATAAATAAAATAATATGCTCTAATAAACCTGATTTAGTTCAGTGAAACGATGGGTTGAACAACAGGTCCAACCCTGTGAGGAAAACCAAGAACAGCACCGTATTTGTTTGCATTTCAGCTTTTTCGAATTGATGGACTAATTGTTGATCTCATTAAAAATGGAGTCAGAGGAAAGAACAGAACTAAGGAGGAGAGAGAGAAATGCTGTGGGCTGTGATACACAAGGCCTGCCGAGCAGAACAGCTAATCCTAGCCCCCACCCTCTCCATCGCTCTCCCCTCATCACCATTCACCGTCCTTTAAATGCAGCTTGGGCTGCCCCCTCCAAGTGTCTGCCCGCAAAGAAACTTTCCAAACTCCATCACCATGGCCTCCCATTAATTAGGCTTCAGCCAGCCACGCAGGAAGGGCGCTTGCTAGCCCGCTTCGCATCGCAGCTAGCAAATTAGAAAAGAAAAATCAGGAAATACTGTTATTTTGACTCCCTCTCTTTCTCCCTTTGTTCTAAGTCTCTCTCCCCACCAAGTAATAAATAGCAGAGGAGGGAGCTTGCTATGTCTGACACTGTTTACTGATTGTTTTGTTTTAATCCATGGTGGGTTATCCATGCAGCTAGAGCGGCTCAGGTCTCCATTTGAGTTTCTCCTGACATGCTTTCTGTTTTGTTCCTAATGTGGAGACACTTTTGTTTCTGTGGAACCCCTCAGGAGACTTAATGGAATATGTGCTTTCATGTTTTGGAGGTTTTTGTTTGCCCTTACGTCTTTTATCTGGAGCAAGAAAAGCAGGCAACAGATCTTTGAATGAGAAGGGGAATGAAACAGAGTTCTCATTTTCACTTTGTGTGAGACACAAACCCACACAGAGTCCCCACTTGTGTCTCTGTTGGATTTTGCTGCTTTTTCCTGTCAGACACATTTTTTAAATTTTATTCCAGACCCATACAGGTGCTGAAAATCCATGAAAATGTCTGAAATTTAATTTAGTGTTTCAAGGTTTGACTGGTCTTGCTTGTAAATGTGTAAATGCTTCAGTAGTGTTTCCCCATCAAGTGTAATATGTCCACTTTATGAATAGAACCAAATATTTGTCTTTTTAATGATTATTGTTTTAGATCTGTGACCCTTTGATTAAACAGACTTAACTGTTCTGACATTAATAACAAATGAGCTTTATTTAAATACATATTAGCATTTACATTTCAATTCAATTCAAGTTTATTTATATGGCGCCAAATCACGACAAGAGTCGTCTCAAGGCACTTCACATAATAAACATTCCAATTCACAGTTCATTAAGCCAATCAGAAATAATGTGTCCTATATAAGGAACCCAGCAAATTGCATCAAGTCACTGACTAGTGTCAGTGACTATACAGCAATCCTCATACTAAGCAAGCATGCAGCGACTGTGGAGAGGAAAACTCCCTTTTTACAGGAAGAAACCTCCAGAGAATCCTGGCTCAGTATAAGCAGCCATCCACCACGACTCACTGGGGATTGAGAAGACAGAGCAGGCGCACACACACACACACACACACACACACACACACACACACACACACACACACACACACACACACACAATAATGTGTCTACAGTTCTATTGTGATGTCTTAGTAAATATTCTATTTGGTGAGGTAAACTTTATTGTATTTATCCTAGTGGATCTATAATTAAATGGGTAAACTAGCAGTAACACGTCCAATGTCAAGGAAAGCAAAAAGTTATTTTCAGGAGAGGGAGAATGTTTAAGTGGTTAGCAGCAGTGTGCTAGACGATGGCCCCCCTCCATGAGGTCACCACAGCTCAGCAGAACATCGTTGTAGCTTCTTCTGGGGAGAAAAACACTTAGAGAGAAAATAAAGTTAACAGCTGAAATTGCAAAAAGTAATACAGTTAAAGAGCAGATAGTAGAAGAAGGTAGTAGAGTGTGGAAAGTGGTCAGTGTATCCTCCAGCAGTCTAAGCCTATAGCAGCATAACTACAGAGAAAACTCTGGATAATCTATCCTATTTAGATGGAGGCATGTTGGAGGCAGGGCAAGGGAGAGCCGTCTTTACCGACTGTACACTCCACCTCCCTCTACTCCCCCACTTGTCCAGATTTAGGCTAACGTCAGATTTTAACCATAGGCCCTATCAAATAAAAATTTTTTTTAGCCTAGTCTTAAAAGTAGACAAAGTGTCTGCCTCACGGACTAAAGCTGGGAGCTGGTTCCACAGGAGAGGAGCCTGAAAACTAAAAGATCTGCCTCCCATCCTAATTTTAGATATTCTGGGAACCACCAGTAGACCTGCAGTCTGAGAGCGAAGTGCTCGGTTACGAACGTATGGAACAATCAGATCACTGATGTATGATGGAGCTTGATTATTAAGAGCTTTATATGTGAGAAGGAGGATCTTAAAATCTATTCTGAATTTAACAGGTAGCCAATGTAGGGAAGCTAGGACAGGAGAGATATGATCTCTCTTTTTAATTCTCATCAGAACTCTAGCTGCAGCATTTTGGACAAGCTGAAGACTTTTAACTACATTATGTGGACTTCCTGAGAGTAATGAATTACAGTAATCCAGTCTTGATGTAATAAATGCATGAACTAGTTTTTCAGCATCACTCCTGGAAAGGATGCTTCTAATCTTAGCAATATTCCGAAGGTGGAAAAAGGAAATCCTACAAACCTGTTTAACCTGGGAATTGAAAGACATGTCCTGGTCAAAGATAACACCAAGGTTCCTTACTTTGTTTCCAGAGATAACTATAATGCCATTCAGGTCAGGTGATTGACTAAGCAATTTCCTTTTCTGAATTTCTGGTCCAAAGATGAGAACTTCCGTCTTGTCTTGATTTAAAAGCAAAAAGTTTAGAGTCATCCAATTTTTATGTCCTCAAGACAAGCCTGTAATCTACCCAAACGATTAGGTTCATCAGGGTTAATGGATAAATATAGCTGAGTATCGTCAGCATAACAGTGGAAGTTTATCCCATGCTGTCTAATGATTTTACCAATTGGGAGCATATACCGTAAATCCTCTAATACAGGCCGGTATTCAATTAAAGGCCGCCAATCCTGGCCGGTGTCTGAGTCAGCGGAGGTAAATAATGACCGGTCTCTTGTTGTGGCCGGATGGCATGTGGTAACAAGCAAGTACGAGCGTCCCAGCGGCAGGGTTATAGTCCCCAAATCAACCAGCGGGAGGCAGTAGAAGTTCACGCAGACCTTTTTTAGGCCTTTTCTTCAACGCTTTGTAACGCTACAGACACGATCCTCTATCACGCTCCTACCACACAGAGTCACGGTGTCAGTTAACCATGCTAATTCAACCCCTCCACAGAACACACATCACCTTCCCTGTGGCTTACATAACACTCACACAACACGCAAATCAGCACATAGGAACTAGCAGAACGATAGGAAACACATATAACACAATACCCAGAATGCACCTGGCTTACAACCCCAGCCAGGTCATTACACTATCAAGTTCAAAGAGAACGTGCTGATTATGCTGCAGAACACTCTGGGGAGCAGCAGTAGGGGGTGTATGAACTACAGCAATCCCTCCGCGGTAGATGCGTTCCAGACCTGGCCGCGATAGGTGAAAATCCGCGAAGTAGGGACTCCCAGCATGTCCCTCGCGGGGATTCCCTTCACGTCGCACCTACGTCACAAACCGCGGCTATAAACGGAAGTCGCCTTTCCAGCTCACCACTCAGTCATCGTTTCTTCAGATTCACGATCAGAGTTTCCAACCTACCGATCAATCCAACGAACTATCAGCTCATAGTAAGTTATCTTACTTACTTCTGGAAAGCCCGGCATTTCCGTGTCACTTCGTTGACTCTCGAACGCTCGGGGGTTTCCTAGAGCACTGACGCTATCACTTCCGCGTCTGTGAAACCACGCTCCCTATTGAATTATCGTATGATCACATTCTCTTTTTGGGGGTAAAACTCAAGTGCCAGACCGTAGGTACTGACACGCGATCGTTCATGTCGGTTCATTTCCTTTAATGTTTTCTGTCTTTTATTTGCGCCTGATGTGTATCGCTGCTGTGGAGCGGGGCGCATCAACTTGTCCTCCGACGCACAGATCACAGCAGGGAGCGCTCAGCTGTTTTCGCGGTCGGTAGATCTGCCTCCTGAGCACGGCCACAGTAACAATCAGGTGTCGCCACCTCAAAAACTAATTTAACACGCGATCGTTCATGTCAGTTCATTTCCTTTAATGTTTTCTGTCTTTTATTTGCGCCTGATGTGTTTCGCTGCATGCTGTGGAGCGGGACGCTGCGCGCATCACCTTGTCCTCTGACGCACTGATCACTGATACGGCCGCCAAACAGCAAGCGCTCCGCTGTTTTTGCGGTCGGTAGATCTTTTAGAACTGCAGTTCAAAGGTAACTCATGAGGTGAATATATATGAACCCAGGCAGCAGTTTTTCTTTAGGATTGAGAGGAGATGCAGGAAGATAATAAACAGACAGGACAGAAAAATAGTCAAATAAAAACAAGTTAGTTTTTGTACCTGCTGTTGCAACAAACAGACACCATTGAAGGTCATCAGAAGTGAACAGAAAATGAAATAATTATTTTAATGTTTAGAGCAGCAGGAACTCCGAGAGGCTGCAGGCGCATCAGTGAGTTTGCTGCGCTGCTTAGGGGGAGGGGGGAGAGGGCTGAAGCAGGAACTGCCGTTGTTAAAAGAAATGTGTTTAACTTTGAAAATGTGGGCGCACTTTTAATTGTCAAAAACTCCAGCGAACCATTAGTTCATTTTGCTCAAATAGAAATAGAGGCCTGCCTCTAATACTGGCCCTCCTTCCAATAAAGGCCTGGAGCTTGATGAGCTTGAGTCAAATACAGGCCTGGGCCTGTATTAGAGGATTTACGGTATATAGTAAAAAGAATTGGTCCAAGCACTGAACCCTGTGGTACTCCACAAGTAACCCTGGAGTATGAAGAAGATTTGTCATGTACATTTAATATATGCCGCTTAATTCTGGCTCTTAAAACCAAAGAATATCTGATTTATTACGTTGATGGATTCAAATTGAGCTTCTGAGTTCAAATGCATGGATTAAAACTAAGTTTAGGATCTTTAGTTTAAATTTGTTATGTGTGAATAAATTTGACTTTAGGAAAGTCTAATAATTCAGAATTTTCTTCAAACACCTTGCTAATAAACAAAATAAAATTGATAACATAATACTCCTAATAAAATAGTCCAGTTGCAGTTATTTCATTGTTTATTTTATTGTTAGTTATTTATTTTCACATCTTTATGAATACTTACAGTCCTGTATTTGACTGATTTACAGAGCAATAAAGATAAAGACCGAAGTTTTCTGGAACTTCCAACCAATGTTGTTCCAAACTAACCAAACAAACACGTTTTCTCTTTTATTCTGCATCCCACTAACATCTTCTCTATTTTCTCTATTCCTCTACCACTTTTACAAACATTCTCCCATTTTTCCCCCATTGTTGTTCCTCTCCTTCTTTCCTCATCATCTCCCCTTTCTCCTGTCTTTCTATGTTCCTAACTTCCTGTCCGCAGCAGAGTTTGACAGAATGAGAAGCCATGAGGAAAATGATACGGATGGTGAGGATGAAGAAGAGGAAAAGTTTAGGGCAGAAGAACAGCAGCTCTTCTCTGAAGGTGGTGGTGGTCATGATGATGATTCTTTTGGAGCTGCCTTCTCTGAGTCTGCACTGGTTACTAACCAACTACCACAGGACATCCTCCCAACCACGTCCAGCACTCAAAGACACCTGGAGCTTACTAACCCTGACTCTGCGCTAACATCTCTGGGTAAAATCCATGGCTGATGATGTGTGGTGCTGCATGATTCTCCTTGTTAAATGACTTAAGGTGGTGTCTCACTGAGCTGCATCTATAGGTGGAGACAAAAAATTCTAAATTTTCAGATGGAATCACACTGATTTGGTACTGCAAATTTAACAGAACATTCTTGCAAATTTCCTGCAATAATTACAAATTTATATTTTAGTAATTTATCCTAATTCTATTAGCAGTTTTTCCCCCCACTCTGATTTTCAGATTTCCAATTAGTCACAACTAGGGCTGCATGATGTTGGTGATATTTTCTAACCCTGTGATATGTTGACCTATTGCTAAATTAGTAAATACAGCAATATTTAGCAACACTTAAAGTTATGCTACCCTTCTTCCATTTTGTTAACAACAGGTGGTAATTTACATTATTTTGAGTCAAAAAAGCGTTATGTAGTGGCTATTTGTCCATTAAATTTAAACAAAAAATTATCGAATACTTTCAAATGGCAACTTGGCTACGTCAAGGGTTAGGCTTTACGCACGGGTAAAAAGATTTCAAATCAAACAATGCCCATGCCAAAATTGCGTTTGGTGGTGGTTTATTCACACAAGAAGCAAGAGCACAGAGTTTTTACATCCTCTCTGTCTCTGTGATAAAAAACCATGTCCCCTCGCAGCCCTCGCTGCTCCACCCACCTTGACCTATTTATACAAATAATCACCCACACCTGACCAATAAACAATAAACTAATTAGCCAAAATTATAAATAAAAAGCATAATGCAAAACAAACAAATTAACTTTTGCATAAAATAAAGAAAATAAACTAGGCTATAACTTAAGCCTATAATAAACTAAATAGCTTCAACACATTATTTTGCAACATGATACAGTCATAACTTTATACACATTTAACGGTTTTGTCAAACCACTCAGAAATACACGATCACCGTCATCTCACAGTTCTTAGCCTCGTATCATTAAAAGAGCGGAATCATCTTAAACAAAAGCTATATTTTTACATCCACAAGGGTCCAGTCAAAGTACTCGTATAAAACAGTTAGTCCACAACAATTCTTACAGCCACAATCCAACATAACATTCCGCTGAAAACTGCAGAAATTTCCTTCATCCATTTCTGTCTTGCAAATTCTACCCCTACCGTTAGCATGCTCATATTAGCTTCAGCCCTCTACAGCATCGACCCTGATTTGTGACTTTTTGATCAGCTCCTTACCTGATCCAACGGGTGAAACGTTACCCTCCCACCCCCTCGGTCCCTCTGATGAGGCAACAGCTTCAACTATTGGCCAGTTGGTCAAAAGTGATATTCTCTGTTTAGCTTAAACCAATTGCAATGCATTATGTTGTTTATCTGTACATAAAATAGCAAATGAGATTCAGATTAAGCAACAAAATCTGATGTTTTATCACAAAAACACATCCCTTCATGGTCTGCTTCAACAAACTGCTTAAGAACAAGAATGTTTGGTGGTTTACTGTGTGTCAGGTAGATAAAAACACATTAAGTTCAGTTCTCTCCAACATCACAGCAGGATCTGCGATGTGACTGCACATGCAACACCGTACAGTTCTAATCACAGCTGACCGTTCTCAGAGTTCTTGCTCACTCTGGCTCACAGACACACAAATCTGAGAAGAGTTCCTGACACCCACAATGACTCAGGGACTATTTTAAAGCTGTGGTTGACCGAAAAACCATTGTAACATTAACTGCCATTGATGACATAACTCGTCATTTTAAATCCACGTGACCAGGAAGCAGAAAGTCCATGTGTTAGGAGATCATTTTTGGGCCGCTGCTTTTAAAAAAAATGAGGCGCGAACTGGAAAAGTGAAAGATTATGAAAGAACGGATAACGCTCGAAATGCGCGGACTGTTCCTGATGTAAGAGGTGAGTCTACTCTTTGTTTTGCTAGTTTTGGCGTTGACATCATCATAGAGCGCAATGTTCTGTGACTCTTAAAAAAACAGTGAAAACGCTGAAAAACGCTGGCAGCGAAGGGCTTTTCTGATCAGGAAATGGCTGGCAGTGAATGAGTTAATGGTCATTTCTGATTATAGTTGGTCACTCTGAGTTTTCATGCAGCCTGAACATGAAAATAGTCTCCTACATCTATCTCCTGCTTTAGCTTCTGATAGAAAATAGACGGTTAAATGCCAGGATTTGAAAATCCTCACAGATCTGCATCACACTGAATTAGTGTTCATGGACTCACCCATCTTGACTCACAACGGGGAAGGCTGTTGTGTTTTAACATCCGGGAATTAGCAGTGGCAACTCAGCTAGTTTAAGCTAACCATTAGCATTAGCAACTTAACCTAACAGAACTCCTTCAAACTTGTGTTATTTGTGAAGCTAAAACATTGTTGTTGTAGGTCAGTGGTAGAGTTTCATTACTGTTATCCGATCTGGAGCAAGATGTCTAAATATCATGAAATAAGACTTCAAACCTGCTGTCAGAAGCTCAGCTGTGATGTGGGCAACTTTTAATGGTAAAAAAGATTTGAATTTTATGTCACTATCACCAAAAAGTTATTAAAAATAATAACTATTGAACTAAACAGTTTACTCCAGACAGGATTAAGTAAATATGTTTGAATCTTCAGAGGAATATGCATATAAATCTTCAGAAGTGAAACAATTACTTTGTTTTGTGATTAATTCATGCAGTCACTGTCAATCTGAGATTAATGAGAGCGCAGAGAAGAACCTGACAAACAAACACAACAACAAACAAATTCTGTCCCCTGCTTTGAATTGCATTATCTCACTGTTCCTTTCATTGTTCTTTTATTTTATTGGATGCTAATATTTAAGCACTTCTAAAAGAAATAGATGGCTGTGAAAGTAGAAGGAACATTTCTGTTTCTACTCTTTAATTTGGTGAAAGGAAATGTTGCACAAATCATGTTTGCTTCATTTACTCTGAATATGAGTGTGCTTTGAATATCCTTGTGTATTTGTGACAAAGTTCAAGAGCATGCATCTGTATTCTGTATCTTCATACATGCATCTCTGCATGTGTATGCGTGTGTGTGTTTGTGCACGTTTGTGTGCGTGTGTGTGTTCGCTGCACACGGGGTGGTGACACATGAAACGGTCGCCCTCCTGTTCTTTCATCTTCCTCGGTGCAGTGGTCTGTCCTGGCAGGGGAGCTGTGGTTACCAGTCCCTGGAAAATAGAGCTGTATGCAGCTGCTGGCAGGCACACAGAGAGGGAGAAGCAAGGATGGACAGAGGAAAAGAAAAAAGGATGAATGGAACAAAGAAATTAAGTGTAAAAATGTGATATTTAGTTTCACTGGAGGAGAAATGTGATCTAGACATAATGATGGAGGATTCATTAAAGTAAAATAAGTAAATGAATGTATCAATCAATCAGCTTTATTTGTATAGCACATTTAAAACAATCAGAGATTGACCAAAGTGCTGAACAATGTTTAAGAAAGGACACAATGAGACAAATTAAACAGCAGCAGAAGTTGTAAAAATGAATAGCAGTAAGTAATAATAAAATAAACAATAAGACAATAAAAACAACAGTAAAACTATAAGAGATAATAAAATGGTTAAGAACACTCAAAAGCTAAAGAAAATACATAGATGTCTTCAAATTCCATTTAAAAAATCCCTGTAGAAGGGCAGTTTTTTACCCAGGTAGGTATACTCTGAACCTTGTTCAGATCTTGTCTTGTAGTTTTTTATGTCCCTTGTCCCTCCCCTGCATTTTTTTTATTGATTTTTCTAACAATCAAATCAAAACAGAACAGAACCCCACCTCCAACCTCCTCACTACACTGGATCCATCTTAAAATATAAAACAAGTACAAAAACGTTTCAAAATAATGCTGTATGAAAAGAAAAATTGGTCCACAACATGTAAACATGCAATTATAGAAAAATTATAACAATTTGCTCACTGAGACATTGTTTAAATATAACATAAATGATGACCATATATTAAGAAATTTCTCCTACGAACCCCTCATACTATGTCTAATCTTCTAGAGGTGCACATGGGGCATAACTTCCCTGATCCAGTGACCACACGGTGGCAGATGGGTATCTTTCTTAGACAGTATAGACTTAGACAGTATAGACTTGGACAGTATAGACTTAGACAGTATAGACTTGGGCAGTATAGACTTGGGCAGTATAGACTTAGACAGTATAGACTTAGACAGTATAGACCTGGACAGTATAGACTTGGACAGTATAGACTTAGACAGTGTAGACTTGGACAGTATAGACTTGGACAGTATAGACTTGGACAGTATAGACTTAGACAGTATAGACTTAGACAGTATAGACCTGGACAGTATAGACTTGGACAGTATAGACTTGGGCAGTATAGACTTGGGCAGTATAGACTTGGGCAGTATAGACTTAGACAGTATAGACTTAGACGGTATAGACCTGGACAGTATAGACTTGGACAGTATAGACTTAGACAGTGTAGACTTGGACAGTATAGACTTGGACAGTATAGACTTGGACAGTATAGACTTAGACAGTATAGACTTAGACAGTATAGACCTGGACAGTATAGACTTGGACAGTATAGACTTGGACAGTATAGACTTGGACAGTATAGACTGAGACAGTATAGACCTGGACAGTATAGACTTGGACAGTATAGACTTGGACAGTATAGACTTAGACAGTATAGACTTGGACAGTATAGACTTGCACAGTATAGACTTAGACAGTATAGACTTAGCCAGTATAAGTCTTTTGGACCAACTTTTTGTGCACAAGGAGACTTTATTTCACCTGAGGATGAAAGTGGTTTTAAATTCTCCATAAGGGTTTATATTCTCTCTCTTTCAGGTACAAACAGTAAGCACGTTGATGTGAAGCTGAAGAAGCTGGTGGATACCGGTCCAAGAGGAGTCACTTCCCCTTCGTCCCTTTCCTCCACATCCTCATCATCCTCACCCACCGCCTCCTCCCTCTCCCCACTCAGCCCCACAGAAGGACTGGAGGTACACACACATACCTACTCTTCATCTAGCAGCTTTATCCATCTCACATTCCTTTCATGTCGCTGTCGTTTGTTTAGTGTTTTTCTCTTCTCTGTCTCTCAGAGCACCATCAAAGGTTCAGTCCAATCAATTAGATCCGATTGACCCCGTTTGTCAGCCTGCTGACCCTTTGTACTCACCTGTCAGTTGTACCACTTCATGCAGGACTGTAGTTTATCCCTCTGGTGTCCGAATAAATCTGTCTAAAGCCACAGCAAGCACACAAATACTTGTCTGGCATTGGGATGCTCTTCGTTAGATAGAGGCGTCCCGTCTGTATTGATTATGACCTTTTCAGTGTGTGTAGGAGGATACATGCAGAAGTAGCTGCTTGTGTCTACAGTGTCTGATGTGAATATTGAGTCAACAAGATGCTCTGATGGTCTGAACATCTGTTAAATGGATTCTGAATGTCGAGTAGGGTTGTGTCTGTGTGTTTGGTGCGTGTGTGTGGCTGTCTGCACAAGTGAAACTCTCTGCACACACGACAACACGTGGCGTCTTTGATCAACAATTCACATAAACACCCTCTTGTGTTCAAAGCTAAAAGGCTTATGGCTGGTGGAGTGCATATATGTGCGTTACGTCGCAGGGGTGGAATGGAGGTTTGGTCGATGTTGTTGCAGAAAGTAATCTTTTCCAGGAGGGGAATGAACTAGATATGGAATACTGAATGATGTAAGACCTTCTCACCACTACTTCCATGGTGAGAAGGTAATTATGACGTTGCATCAGAGGATGTAACTAAAGGGGCAACAAGACCTCAGTTTGTCAGATGGAACTAGTTTTGTTCCTGGTACAGTTGGCTCACATTTCTGGCGCCTCTGACCCTTGGAAACTAACATAGGAAGAGTTTGAGACAGGTGTCAGACGCCCGGAGAACTCTGACAGTTTTAGGAAAAGTATTTTGAAACATGTAACTCTCACAAGGACATTCAGAACCTACTGTTAGTCACCAGCAGTCACAGCCCAGCTTGTTAATGACCCGGAGACTGCAGATTCAGGCTTCTACCCTTTTTGAGACAGCGACCTCTAATGGACGGATGTTTATGGGCCATAGGGTTTGGACAAGGTTTGGAGCCAGATAAAATTTTGTTTAGAAATGTAGGTAGAAAACATACTCTGGTTTCATTAAAGAAATAGTTAAACAAATAGTGTGCTCCATGTTCAACACTTACAAGACTGCTATGAAACCAGGGGGTGGCGCTGTCTCGAAAAACAGCAGAAGCCTAAAACTGCAATCGGCCTGAATCTGCGGTCTCTGGCTCTGCGGTGACACCCTTCTCCATCTATCCTGAGAGACCCAAATATTGATGTAGGTCTTTGGAGCATTTTCATTCAATTTTAAGCATGAGGAGTTGTGTCAGATTTAATTATGTGTGAATCTATACATAATCGCATACACCTATTCACCATTGGTACATTAAGTCTTCATGTTTTGTATAATAATATTAAAAATTCAGGGCTATAAAGGCAGCATCAACTCAAAATTAGTTTAAAGTGCTAAGAACTAAAGATTCTGGTTCTCAGAAGCCAAACTGAGTCATACTGCTGTTAGCTAATCAGAGGTGAGATGATGTCCAAATATCAGGAAATAAGACTCCAAATCCAAGTCATCTGAGGCTATTTTCTCCTCTGGCTGAAAAGGCATTATTCCTACTAGAGAACACTGCTGTGTTACAAATATGAGTAAAGTTGACCTTTAATAGTTTCCATGTCAGAGAGAAAAAAATTGGTAAGAAGAGTGAAAGTAATTTGTTTGTTTTCTATGGAATAGAATAGAATACAATAGAATAGAATAGACTTTGCAGGTAAACACACAAAGACAGTGAGCTATTATTGTAACCTTCAACCACTAAAAACACTGAATGGAAAGGAAACTTTTGTTTCCAGAACAATGCAGCATAAGGGACACTGACAAACGGTATTGCACAAGTATTGGACACATACTGAATGTTGCATTGATGCAATTGTGTAACAGTACAGCTTAAACTGAGGAGTTGTACACTCTTGCTGCAGAGAGGATGAATGACCTACGGTAGCATTCTGGTTTACATCTTGGATGTCGCAGTCTGCCTCTGAAGGAGCTGTCCATGGTCTCCACTGTGGAATGCGGTGGGTGGGAGGGGTTTTCCAAGATGGTGGTCATCTTCCCCAGCATCCTTCTTTCACACATCTCCTCAGCTGAAACCAGTGGGCAGCCCAGAGCTAAGCTAGCTTTGTTAACTAGCTTGTTCAGTCTTTTCCTGTCTCTGTCAGAGCTGCCTGCACCCCAACAGACCACAGCAGAGTGGATACCAGATCCAATAACAGTGATAAAAGGATTTTAGGAGATGGGAATCAACTCCGAAGGACCTCAGCCTTCTCAGGAGGTGGAGGTGGCTTTGGCCCTTCGCATACAGAGCATCTGTGTTGTTGGACCAGTTCAGTTTGCTGTTGAGGTGAACACCCAGGTACTTAAAGGTATTTACCACCTAAATATACACTTCCTGGATGTTTACTGGTGAGAGAGGAGTTTTTCTCCCAAAAGTTGCAGGTGGGAAGCCCTGAAAATCGCACGCATGCACACACACACCGTCTCTCTCATTAGTGATTGTGTGTATTCACAGCCTCAGCAGCACACGATAAGGGCGTGCGATGCTCAGCGGACTGCAACATTAGTCACGCAGCCCTCTGCATGCACACCCACACCAAATCATCACTGTGATGTTTGCAGTGATAAGATTTTACAGGGGTGTGAAAGGAAGCAGGAATAGTCAGACTCTGATATCTGCTCGGGTCAGGAAAAGTCTCAAGTGGGCAGCAGTTCTGTTCATTTGTGTGAGCGAGACAGTTTGGGCTGTTTTGGGTGCAAATGCAGCAGCTGAAAGCACAAACAGCAGGTTAAAGCCATATGTCGTAATAAATGTGAAAACCGTCTCAGGGCCTTAATCAGTCTCTCGGGAATTTCACTTTTCTGTAAAATAAGCTATTTTCTACAGGAGTTTCCTATTTTAACAAGTTTTTACGGCACAAATATATTTTTCAAACCCTCATGAAAATATGACAAGGACAGAAGCGTTAATCCAATAAATCCGCTGGCATCCAATTATCTTTGATTATTTCACTTTAATTTAAACAAACATATAAATTATTCATCTAATCAGCCCCTGCCTGCAGCGCCTTGGATAAATACATGTTTAGTTTGTTCCTCTGCTTTATAAACCTACAGTTTTAGACCATGTGATCACCTCCTCAAAGGTTTCCAAGGAGCATCAGTCATTACAGATAGAGCGATGAAATAGGTCTATTGGAGATTAAAAACAATAAGTAAATAAACAGAGTTGGGTGGAGAGGTGGAAATCAGAGCAAAGTCTCAGAAATCCTGGGATTAATTTTAATAAACTTATGTTGGAAAGTCTTAAATTTACTAGGAAATCTTGAACAATTTCATGACTAAAATTATTCATTTAATTTAATTTAGTCTGATAGTTGAATTTAAATTTAAAACAAAATTCTGTACTTTTAGAAGTGACGTCTTAAATTGATCAGAAATGAAAAAAAAACTTTAAAGTTTATAGTACTAAAAGATTTGTGGGAAGGGATAAAGTTGAAAATGTACAAGCAAGACATCCAGATATTTATAGGTTATTGGTTGAATTTTTACTGGGAAAAAAGTCACTAATTTCTCCAAACATACCAAATTTTGTTTGTAGATTTTAAAATGAGTTTTTCCATTACAGTCGCTGTTTAAAAAATGTTCATCAAATAAAATGAAATTCCTACAAAGGCATGATTGTCTTTCCAGCTTGAGGAATTTGTTTATAACACACTCGCTCACATTAATGCCTCCACACATGTCTGCTTGTGTCCTCTGTTTTTAAATCCTTTATTGGGCTTTTTGTGTAAAAAAAAAACACATAAAATCTGAAGCACTTCATAAATAAATTTGCCTCCATTTAACTTGGCACAAGGTTTTAAGTGGCTGGTTGGAGCTGACAGACTAATAGACAAAACAAAGTGGGAGCAGTCTAATTGCTGACTTTGTTTTTGAGAGTCAGTAATCTGAAACTATCCTAACTCCCCATCTACGCCCTGCTTCCCACCCCCCACCCCCACACCGTCTCTATCAGCCGCCACTGCTTCACTATCTCCCTCCGTCTCAAGCATTGGAACGAGCTTGCCCTAATTGTTGACTTTATTACACTTTTCGCCGTCTTATTAGCGTCGCTGCGGCATCAGTCTTTACTGAAGTCGGTTTCTTTTCCACTCGGCTTGGCATATTTGGAGACTTGGTAATAAAGCATTTCTGCGTGCCGTCTCTGATAGAGGGAGAAGCGAGCGTGTAGCTTTTTAACACGTGTTCACTTTGAAAACAATAGTGTTTTTTGCATTTTGCATAATCTGAATATATTTTCTGGCTCGAGGTTTTGTTGAAAGTCAAGTTAATTGCCTCCTTTTTGTCTCTCTCATGAGTGAGGGGGCGAATGAATGAGTACGTGTGTGTGTGTGTGTGTGTGTGTGTGTGTGTGTGTTTGTATTTTAGTGTAATTCATAAAGACAAATAACAATGCAGCTTAAATATCAACTTCTGCCAGATTTACCGTTTACCTGTCTGAAGCTGTGCAAGCATGCATGCAAACCTTTAAATGTGCATTAAATTTGCATAAAATGTGCAACATTAATTTGTTCATGCACCAGATGTTTGCATCAGTATACTTCTGTTTTTTGTTGTTTTTGCAGCACAAAGTCTAGCTTTGACTTCTGGTCATGTCTGGATGCGTACGTAACACACTCACCAAGCAGATTGTCTTTTTGTGACAGAATAATGCTGAAGAGTTGCGAGCAGAGCGACTTCGCAGAGCCACAGAGAAGTTAAGGAGTCCTGTCGTCTTCAACAAGGATTCTGCAGTGAGGAAAACTCAGCTAAAGTCCTTCAGTCAGTATGTGGAAAACAGACCAGGTGAGCAAAAATACGCAAAAGCACACACTTTGTGTTTACTGAGGGTGGTCCGTTTAATCCAGCAGCCCTTCAAATACTCACATCTAGTTCGGTCAGAGCTCACCACTGAGGACTTTTGAGACAATTCAGTTTGTGTTGTTTTTAGAGGAACTGCGCTTATTTAAGGACTGTTTCTACAAGAAGAAGAAGAAGAAAATATCATTTCTATAGCGCCTCTCAAGATAAAAATTACTAGGCGCTTTACAAAAACAAAAAATGTAAAAATATAAAAAATAATTTAGAAAATGGTTAAAATATATATTTAAAATGAGCAAAAAATATACAATTGTGATAAAAAAAATTTTAAGAAAGAGAGGGAGAGAATAGGAAAGAGGGAAATCAGTGGATCCTGAGGTAGGTGGAATAGGTGGGGAGAGCAGAATAAAGAGAGAGTGGTGAAGAAGGTCATACAAAAGCTACTTGGAACAAGTGAGTCTTCAGCTGCTTTTTAAAAGAAAACCACTGAGTCCACTGATCTCAGGCTCAGGAGAAGAGAGTTCCAGAGTCTGGGGGCCACAGCAGCAGATGATCTGTCACCTTTGGTCTTTAGCCTGGTGCTGCACAACCAGTAGGCTTTGGTCACTGGACCTGAGGGACCTGCTGGGGGTGTAGGGACTAAGAAGATCACCAATGTAAGATGGTGCTTGTCCATGTAAGGCCCTATAGACCAGAACCAGGATCTTGAAATGAACCCTGAAGTTGACTGGCAGCCAATGAAGCTGGAGGAGAAGCGGGGTGATGCCATTTGAGTTCAGAATCAGCTTTATTGTCATTGCACCAGCGTCCTAGAACAAAGAAATTTGACTCCACAGCACAACATGACAGGATACGAGTAGGCCATGAGAACATCCATACACGGCTTTAAAGAGGTGCTTCACTGAGAAACCATTATTTACTCATTATTTTTGAAAATGATCGGTCACTCTTGAGTTTTTCATGCAGGCTGAACTTAAAAGTAATATTTTACACCTGTTTTCTGCATTAGCTTCTGATAGAAAATAGAGAATGAAACTCTAGGATTTGAAAAGCCTGACAGATCTACTTCACACTGTCATTAACATTCATGGACTCACCCATCATGACTTGCAACGGGGAAGGCTGCTGTTGGTTTAGCGTCCAGGAAACGGCGGCGGCGAGTGTCTCTGCTAGTAGAAACTAACTATTAGCAATAGCAACCCCACCACACATCAGAACTCCTTCAGGCTTGTGTTATTTGTGGAGACTTTGCAAGTCAGTAGAGTTGCGTTGCTGTTATCCAATCAGAGGCGAGATGTCGTAATATCAGGAAATAAAGACTCCAAATCCTGCAGTCTGATGCTCAGCTCTGATGTGACTCACTTCTAGTTCCTTTTTTAAATATGAGTAAAGTTTACCTTTAAGCGCTGACGTCGTTAGGTCCGTTTTAAGCCCCCCTAAAATAATCACAAGCCCCCCTATCATTTTGAGTTTTTTAGGGCTGGGACTTTAACGCGTTATTATGATTAATGAGAAAAAAACGACACGTTAAAAAAATTCACGCGTTTAATCACAGCTTGCATTTCGAGCACGGCGGAACCTTTGTCATTGCACGACTTCCTCGTAGACTGAATATCACTGACGCACACAACAATGCACGGTGCTAATGGCTACTAACGGAATAAAAACAGAAAGAAGTTGCCTTGCTTGGACTGATGCAGGGTTTAGGAAACCCGTCCGCCTCTTTTCTTAACTTGAAAAAAAAAAACTTCCAGACAACAACGGAGTCCGTGTCGCAGACATTTTTCAGAGATCGTCTCAGCTGCAGCTGCCCGGTGGCACAGGAAACTTTACAAAAGTTGCGGTAAGCTATATTTTTAACATTTACGTAACATCTGTGCAGCGCTGAAAGAACCAGACAGAATAACTCTGTGCCCTAACAGTAGTTTATGAAAGTAGTCAGACAAACGAGAGGCACCTGGCTGCCGCTGGGAGAACGCTCCGTGTTCTCACTACTCTGTAAACAATCACAGACAACGTGTCTTAAAGTTGAAAACAGAAGTTTTCGTTAAAACAGAAACACTCTGAAACTTTTCTGATGATTTTCTAAACAATTCTGTCGGGGAGTTATACGTTTCTGAGACGAGCCTCTGTCTAAACATCACATGCATTACTATCATTAAGCAGTGAGTTGTGTTGAAGCTGTCATCAGCTAAGGGGCGGATGCTTAAGGGGCAGCGAGGAATGAGGAAGTTGTGATCAGGCTGGAGATCACACCAGATTCTCTGCTGCAGGCATGAATCTGCGGGTCTGCAGCATCCCCTTCTTAACGTGACATCAGGACTTCCCATGTAAGGAAGGTCCGCTCACCTGTTCGTCAGATCATTATTTCCTCGCCATGATCTTTTATCTTCCCATCAACCTCCAGTCATCCAACTGGAACCAGTTAGTGTTCCTGATCATTCTCAGAATATGCCACGCCTGCTCTGGTGTTAAAAGTTAGTACATTTAAGTCCTAGATCATATTTGTGCCTGTTCTACTGTCATTTTGAAGGATTATTATTTATGTGTTTTTACTACATTATGAGTAGAAATGCTAATAAAAACTCCCAATTATACAAACAAGTGAAACTGGAAAAATTTGAATCTGGTGCAAAGTCAAATTTATTTCAGTAATTCAACTAGACAGAGAGACTATTTAAAGGCTCAGGAACCCTTTGCAGGCGTTTTCTATTTGTAATTATAAATTTTAGTTGATTTGGGTTTTGTTTCATATCACACAGTGACATTTGATTAATTAAAATGCATTTTTTTATTAAAAGCTTTAGTTTTACAGTAATAACTATGTCTAATGTTTAATTCTCTGTCTCAATTTTAATTAAGTTTTGCTTTGAGAGCACATTTTCCTGAACGATTAAAATGTGATTAATTTAGATTAATTAATTACAAAGCCTCTAATTAATTAGATTAAAAATTTTAATCAAGTCCCAGCCCTCATTTTTATATATACTGTTATTTTGTCTTGTAATTGTTAATTACATACTCCTTTATTCCACATCATAGCAGTGTTATTCATATATTAAAACTGTCAACTGCACACTCATTTGGCAGAATAAAAGTTTGACAATTATTAATTTGTTCTTTGTCATATTTTAGTAACATTTATAATTAAGCAAGTTGTAATTAAACAAATGACTGCAACATTTCCCCCTGTTAAGTGCAGTAGACTGAAATGAATAGCTTTATTTGGAAATATAACATATCTAATTTTTAATGGACTTATATAAAATCTTTCTTCAACATAGACCCCACTAATGAACTGATTAAGTGTTATTTTTTTATAAAAAGAAGAGAGAAAATGCACAAAGGTAGGAAAGGAAAAGAAAGTGACAAAATAATAGGTTTTGTTAAATGTTCTTCAGATAATGAATTAATTGACAAAGTTTTTGCAGGGTGTGAAAAAAATGTTCAAGGTCAAGCTCCTGGGGCTAAGCCCCCCCTAAAACTCAATCCTAGTGACGTCCATGCCTTTAAGCATCTGATTTCTGTACTGCCAGATATTAATATACTTGCGTTTAAAACTGTAATCCTTTTCTGTTTCTTCGGCCATTTTTACAAGAACAAGAATCTCCGGTTGGGATAGGGTGAGCCACGAAGCAAACACCAGACTCATCCTTGAAATTCAAGTAAAAGAAGGACACATTTGTCAGCTGTATTTGGAGGAGCTTTTGAATCTGCTGACAATGTGTATTCATAACACAGAGTTCTTACAGAGGCTTGAAATCCTTGAAATTACTTGAATTTTTAATAAAGTGCTTGAAACTGTGACTGACATTGGTCATTGGCATTTATTTAGTTTGCACAAAGAAGTGAGATGAGAACTTTCAACATGTGCTGCCCTTGTATGTCTGAATATTCATTACTCTATGGTGCTGGAAAATCTGGATAACATTGAGAGTGCTTGAAAAGTACTTGAATTTGGTTCTGCCAAAGGTGGAAGAACTCTGATAATAGAAAGGAAAGCTGAAGGTGTTTTTACACAAGGGTTGTTTGGTAAGTTGACTTTACTGTAACTTGGTGGTGGCTGTGTTGATATGTTAGCGTTACTAGCGCTGCATCCATATGCTGTTACTATGAATAGCACTGGATAATGTTTAATTATAATAAATCCTTGTAAACTGTGATTGTAGTATCTTTGTCATATCGCCCACCCCTTAATTGAAATATTCATTTATAAAATCAAATCTGGTGGCAGAGTGATCAGTTCCCATGTTTGTAACTCTAATCAAATACAAGGTCACGCATGAATCGGCGAGAATTATCCAGCTGCAGGGGAAGGTCTCTGGCACTACCACTGCCAGGCTTTTCGCCGTCGATCTGTCAGCAGAAATATTAGATCGACTCCAAAAACACACACCAAAAAGTAGAGGTTACATTTTTTTCTATATCGGCCATCGACTAAATAAATAAATAAATAAATAAATAAAGAAGTGACCTGTGTGGCCAACTTCCGCCACTACCACTAGACTGAAGAAAGGACCCGAAGGACCCCAACACACCGTTTTTTTTTTTTTTTATGTTTTGAGTTTGTTTTAAATTTGAAGTTCAATAAATATTAAGACATTTATTGACTCATTTAATTTAAATTGCACACAGTGAGTGTTCAGTTGTCTTTCACTGTCAATGTGCTGCTAAAACATATGCGTATATATATATATATATATATATATATATATATATATATATATATATATATACACACGTAAATATAAATACACATATATATTTATATATATTATTGCCCCCATTGGGGATTCAACATTGCCTTGTTAAGTCCCCAATGGGGCGTTTTTATACACTGTAAAATAAAACATATTGTTTCAACTTAAAAATACGAGTGAAAGGGCTGCATTAAAATTTTGAGTTAAATGAAAAAACAAAATTTGTTGTCTTAACATTACCATATTTTATCACAAATTAAACTCTCTTGTTATACCAACATGTTTTTAAGTTAGTTTAATTTATAATCAAGAGTTGATTCAACTTCTTTTAGTTTTTTTAACTTTAACCACAATTAATAATTTTACGTTGTCAAAACTAGTTTGGGTATTGAGAGGACTGACTGGTACAGTCCGTGTAATCCATAAATGTATGTTGACTCAATTTAAAAGTATCAATTCATTTGGAAGAAATGTTTAAGTCAACTTAACTAAATCATTTAAAACATTTGCCATATCGCAAAAAGATGGGGGCACTGTATATTGGAAATTTAAAACATTTATATGATTAATTTATGTACATTTCACACAAAATGATCCATTTAGTGATAAATTTCACCTCTAAAAACAGAAGCAATACACACATGTTCATCAACTCAGCTAGTATATTTATTTATTTAGCAGTAATGAAGTTACAGCTCTGCAACATTTACTGAAGCTGTTTTGTTTTGTAATGAATAGTGAAAACGTTTTAGAACAGTCTGCACTCAAAAAAAAAAAACATTAACACAGCAGCTTATCAAGGTCTTATAGTTAGAACATATTTAGTGTCTTAAATGAGACAAGTAATTGCACATTAACTCAAGTGCATAAACTTTTAAAGCATCTAACAAAACCTTGCACAAATAAAAACAATAATAAAATTCAAAATGATACTACAATTCAAAATAGTAGTTCTAAACAAATAGTGCACATTTTAATCTTGTCATCTATCATTTGGTCTTATGTTGACCTCTTTATTGCAATACTTTTTATCAACCTATGCATTTGATTGGCTTTGAACTGATATGACTATATTTTCTGATGGAATAAACCTAAACAGATGAAATAACAAAACAAGAATTCCAAACCATGTGCCAAACTTCTATATGACCTTTGGAACAATGTTTAACAGGAAATGTTGAGTGCTTTCAAAAAGCTCAGACATCCATGAGTCATGAGATGAGACATTTCAGGAGAATCTACATGGTTTTTTGTAACAGTCTGTTTTTCAAACCATGCACAAGGGAGGAACACTGACCTCCGCCGATGTTCATCAGGACCTTTTGAAAAACTTCAAATGTGTACCTGAGTTCCTTTGGATAGTCTATATTAAAGGCAAAAAGCAGACCCATCAGTAGAGCAATGGCATGAGGAATGTCCTCCACATCAGGCAGGACCACTTGTTCCTCAAGAATGACTGATGTGGCAATGATGTCCTCTCCATCTTTCACCAGCAGAACTCCAACTTTCATTCCCCGAGTGAGTGTGGCTTCCTCGTCAATGGCCTACACAAGTTATAAAGCAAATTACTCACTATGACCCCTTGCAATATTTGGATAATTCTACAGACAACCTTGTTAAAAGGAGACTAGGCAGTTTTGCTTGTTTTTAGCGCCCCCTGGTGTCTGTCTGTGGTCAAAGCAGAATTGAAACGTACTGTATCTCCTCGCTGTGCGTTTGCCCTTTTAAAGGCATACTTTGCAACTTTTTCATATTTCAGAGTTTCCCCCAGCGCTTAGCAGGCTTTGTTTGCCCACCCGCCAGGCTAAGCGTCATGCCCCCCCCCCCTTCTCCCCGACCGCTGACACGAACGGCACAACAGTCCTCCATCAGCTGATACTGGTGAGAAACAGCAGCGGAACGTGTGCACCCCCCCCCCCCTCATGGAGAGCTGCAGAACAGAGGGCGGTAAAGGTTGGTTTATGCTTGACGCGTCCGCGAGCTCCGCGCAGAAAAGTTGCGTCATTTTAACAACCACGGCTCTCCACCGCATCTCCACACGGCCCAAAATTTCCGCAACGTGCACCTAGGAAATTTTCTAACCACGCGGACGGTCGGACACGGAAAAACATGGCGGACCGGCAAGAACTAGTATGGCAGAGGTTGGTAAATACAGACATTTGTATGATTCAGCTCTCAGAGATCACCGTGATCAACATGTTGTTAATAATTCTTGGAGAGAAATAGCTCGCACTGTCGGAAAAGACAAGGATGCTGTTAAAAATGCTGGAATGCCATGTTGTAAACAGTAATTTTTACTTCTACTATGGTGTAGTGTTGGATGCATGCCATAGAGCTCCATGCTGCCCCGTTCAGTTTGGGAGAATATTGGCTCACCGCAGAGACGAGCCGCACGAACCATAAATGCTGCGAGTTGTGAAGCGTGTTCCATCCGCGAGCCGCATCACCAAGCAGAAAGTAAATGCGTCAAGCATAAACCAAGCTTTAGGGTCTGTGTGACATTTCATCACCCCAGCAAAGGTTCATTTTAGCACATACTGGCTCCAGAAAGTGATTTAATAATGTGAAAAAGTTGCATAGTATGGCTTTAAAACCCTTCTTTGTATAACTACATCTAATATCACATCACTACTTTCACTTATAAAGAAATTGTTCACAGATCATTTTTGATACAAATGCTCACCTGAACAGTCTTGAATGCATTTGAAGGATCATCCTTGAGAAAATACGGAAGGCACCGGAAGAACAACTGACCTCTTCCTCAGCATAGAGGACTGAGAAAAAACAAAGACAAAACAACTAATTATAAAGAGAATAACAAATTATTGATATCCTGATTCTTTTATTCTGTTTTCTATATTTAATTGATTAGTTGGACATTTTCACTTCAAATTCTTCTTTCAAACCTGTACTGCAATAGAAGTCTGATACAGAATTTGTGTTAACTGACAGTTTTTCTGTTTTTGTTTTATTGGGAGGGGGGATTTGGCAGCCTTTTGCCATTTTTTTTATTCTAAATACTATAGTTTTTGGAATAGAATTTTTCTGATAAGTTTTTCCAACTCTGACCTATCACTATAGGAAAGCTACCGGGGTCGTGGTAATTCTGTGTAGAAACATGCTTTTTTTTTTTGTGCTAAATTTACACAGGCAGATTGTTTCAAAGATAATTACAATTTGATGGATTTCCTAAAAGGCATGACTGAATTCTATTCACCCAAAGACAATAACCCAACAAAATGTTAACATAATTTTCTTCTTCTCTATATTAGAAAATAGAAAATACTTTTAAATACTGAAAACTGGTAAAACTGTAAATAATCTCCAAAGGAAATGTTACTAATACTAACAAAAATATGTGAACATTTGCTTACGTCATCAAGACATTTAAGCTGCCTGCTTAGTCCAGCTGATTTCCCACTCTTGGCCTTGAACAGCTCCAGGAACCTTGACAAATGCTGATCCAGTCCACTGAAGAAAGACTTCTTAGGTCAACAGATGTCAGCTGAGCAAACTGGAAATCATACACACAGCATAAGTCTAAAATGACCGGTAGTGTCAAAATAAAAGTCTGTTACAGAGATGCGATTTATTATCTATGTAGATGATGTCCACACGTGCAACCTCACGGCTGATTTACCCTCAGCATGGTTCGACAAGTGTTTTTCACGGTTTTAACCCTGGTAGTGGAGAGGCACGGCAGTATACACAACATCAAACAGAGATCTTAAACGTGATGTAAATTTTCTTCTTGGTTTAATGGCGGATGGCATAAACAAACCGAGACATTCGAAGTCTCGTGGGATTGTGATCGCGCGAGTTTAGCGAGGAGAACGGCCGAGATGCTGCGAGATTCCGCTGCTGTTTCGCGCCACAGATGCGCCCATGTGGACCCGGCTTTGAACATTTAGCTTAATTTTATGAGTATACATTTTCGGGAAAAAGGTTAATTAACGTGTTACTGAGTAAACATTTCCCAAAACAATTTCCCCGCCAACCCTGCTATGCTAACCAACAAACAGCGAGTTACCTACTTCTAACGTTCAAATATAAGATATACTAAGTTGCATTCAACATTAAACTTAGAATTACACGATTTACTTTCAGGTTCAGACCTTTTATTTATTCATTTCACTATGACTAATCAAGCTAATGCTATTTAACAACTAACACATTCAACATAAAACCAAAGAAAACTTACCAAAGTGGTGGGCCTCTGTTGAACTGGTTCAGTGTCACCTTTAGATGGACAAAGTAGTTGGTTTTAACCCTAATTGGAGTCGTTAGTCCTTCTGAAGCAAGCCGACAGAACATTGCCCGCGTGAAAAAAGACTGCTTGACTGAGCCCAAACTCCGTGGACTTCTTCTTCCGTCATCATAGGCACATGCGAAACAAACTTTGCGCCACTTACCGCCACCCAGTGGACATACATTTTAATGCTCAAAAGTCAAGTAGACTTGGATAATTTATTTGACTGGACATAAAATTATTGTTTAACATTTTTAGTGTTGTTGAGATGTGTTTAACTAATTATTCTAATTTATAACAACAACAATACAAAAGTCTTGTTATATTAACATGAAATCAAACGTTGGGACAACAAAAAGGGGTAAATGCAATTTACAGTGTATAAGTCAAGTTTTTAATTGACTTTCAAAACATTTATTATGTGAATATACATAACAAAACAATAAACAAACCAAAGGCTGGTGTGGCGCAAAAAATGAACATGAGAGCATCAGTTGTTGAAATTTAAATCCTGATTGTGTTTTAGATAGAACTGATGCAAGTATTTGACTCCTTTCAGAGGTGAAGCGGCAGAAATCTGTTCCTGAAGACCTAAAGAAGGCTGAAGAGGACCGAGCTTCGCTGACTGGAGTTGATCTTCGCAGACCGTTTGAAGAAGAGGTTTGTCCAGGTTTTGGGATTTTTTAGCAAGCTCTTTAAAAACAGGTGGGATTTTACTGAGTCTTCGTTACATTTATTGATCTAGTTTGTGTGCAGACACAGGGCGAGAAGAACGCATATCTGCTGTTGTTTTGTATTTTAATTCCATGTTTGTTGGCCATATTTGAATTCACCTCCTCCTCTCCACGCCTCCACCTCTCTCTACTCTTTGACATCACTATAACACACTCTTTGCCACATTGACATCTAAGTATTGATCTAACAGGTTGCCACGTTAATTATAATAGTGCTAGATATCAGCTGCCATTTAGAGATGTGTGTGTGTGTGTGGCCTTGTGCAGACGTTGCGTGCTTTTTTTGTCCTTCAAGTGTGCACATGCACTTCATGATGTCTTCTTAGCCCGTGTGCACAAAGAGTGTGTTTTTATGAACACTATTATTTCAGCCAGCGAGTGTTTGAGGATGTGTGCCACTGGAGACCATGAGGTGAATCTTTGCTACCCTCGACCCTCCACCTCAGTCCTACACACACACACATGCACACAGCCCTCCTCCCAGTGCCTGGGCCCCAGGGTTAATGGGTGTTCAACCTTTCCATTATCCCGATCAGCCAAGAATTACCTGCTGAATGATGTTTGCATTAATATAATATATATGGTAATTTCCCTCCTCTTAATTACGGCTGGGCCAAGCGCGGCAAGGGGAGTGGGCTGATCATGTGTAAAATTGATTTGCCAAGGAAAAATATGGTGATAGAGCGAGAGCGCGCAAAGAGGTGGAGGAGGAGGCTGCAGGGAATCAGCACACACACACACACACACACACACACAGATACACAACTTCACACAAGCTGGAGAGAGTACAGAAAAAAGTGCTGGCCTGGGTGGAATAGAAAAAAACACTTTTTCTCTTGCTCTCTCCTTCCCATTAAGAAAAACGAAGTGCATCAGCAATAAATAGAGATATTTTCTGGGATGCATCCTCAGTGGTAAATTTGAATAAACATTTTGCTCCTCAGTTGGAGGAGTCCCTCTGAAGAATAGCAAGCAGCCAGGAGACGGAGGTGAAGAGGGGTCATGGATGGAGTGTGTATTGAGTGGGTAGAAAGTGATGGTGTGTGTGTGTGTGTGTGTGTGTGTGTGTGTGTGTGTGTGTGTGTGTGTGTGTGTGTGTGTGTGTGTGTGTGTGTGTGTGTGTGTGTTTAATCAAAGGTTTGATTTAATGAACTAATGAGACGATCTGAAACATCTGCATCTTTTCTGCTTTGACACACTAAAATATGCTGATTTCCCTTTTAGTTAAGAGAAGGATTAACATGGACTCATGGCACTAGGGGCGACGGTGGCATAGGAGTTAAGTGCTCGCCCCGTAATCGGAAGGTTGCAGGTTCGAGTCCCGCTCAGTCTGTCGCTGTCGTTGTGTCCTTGGGCAAGACACTTAACCCACGTTGCCTGTTGGTGGAGGTCAAAGGGACTGGAGGCGCCAGTGCTCGGCAGCCTTGCCTCTGTCAGTGTGCCCCATGGCAGCTGTGGCTACACTGTAGCTCCTCCCCACCAGTGTGTGAATGTGTGTGTGAATGGGTGAATGACCGATTGTGTTGTAAAGTGCCTTGGGGGGTTTCAAGAGCTCTAGAAGGCGCTATATCAAATACAGGCCACTAGAAGCATCAATTCTGACATTATTAGATAAACCAGTGTCCCACTGAGCTGCAACTTTTGGTTTGACACAAAAAATAGAAAAACAAGTAAAATTTCACTTGGATTCACACTGATTAATACTTTCATGACAAATTTTAATGACGTGATGTAACTTAGGTGATGACGCTGTTGATATAACTCAAAGTTATTTTGATTTAAGTAATTTTTGTTTTACGCATCCTGCTGTATTTCTTACCTTTGACTCTCTATGCGCTTTGAAATTGGGCCATAATTGTTAGTATGATAGAACATATAACATTTGTAATCTCTGCTAGATTGATGCAAACGTTGATGTCACAAATTGGTTGCGAAGCGTTTCAGATTCTTTGCAACTTAGTCACCAACTCTTTCCAGATGATCCAAAAACCTTCACACAGTTTTGAAACTTTTGGACACCCCTTTAATGAACAAACGCTGTACTGCAGCAGAATTTAAAAGTATTTTTACATTCCTGAACATCAACTGCTTTAAAGATGCAGTATGTAAAAATATAGTGAGAATTTAACAGTGAGAGAATTCCATAAGAGTCATTTTGGAAGGAAGGTTATACTGAAACATATTTCATATCCAGTTGGCTGCGGGGT